TATCTGGCTTATCAGCCCATTTGCAGTAGCTCACTCCAGTAATCCCAGCACTTTGGGAGACCGAGGCGGGTGGATCACTTGAGGTTAGGAAGACCAGCCTGGCCAACATGGAGAAACCCTGTCTCTACTAAAAATACAAAAAATTAGCTGGGTATGGTGGCACATGCCTCTAATTCCAGCTATTTGGGAGGCTGAGGCAGGAGAATCACTTGAACCCCAGAGGTGGAGGTTGCAGTGAGTTGAGATCATGCCACTTCTGCACCAGCCTGGGTGACAGAGCAAGACTCCATCTCAAAAAACAAAACAATAATAATAAAACAAAACTGGCTTATTGAACTTTAGCAGAGGGGAGTTTGGAGAGATTGTGGGAGTGGTAAAAAATGATTCTGCTGTGTTCATCATAGCAGGCCAGTTAATTGAATGTTTTTGCATGCTGAAGTCCTGATGCTTTCTGTATGTATTTATAGCAGAAAATTTACTTCATCTTAACTCCTGTTTCATTGGGGTAAAAGATAATCATAATCTTTGAGCTATTCCCATTTTTGTAACTGTATTTGTGTCCTTTTTCTTTGTCATTGTTAGCCAAGCATGGACATCGTGTCAGTTTTTTGTGGACATCGTGTCTGTTTTTTGAAATTCATTTGTAATTTATAATTAGAGCATTGGGAATGTCAGTGCAATAGTTTGAAACTTGTGTATTCTTGTGCATATAATGTGTATGAATAACTTACACTGTTCTTTCTCCCTTAAATCTGTAAGCTCTCTTGGGTACTGAGCCTTTTGAAGCATTAAAAGTAAATACCATATAAGGCAAGGAGAATAGTACTAACTAGCTGCAGTAGCAAAGTAAAGAAAGTGAATCACAGAGTGATGAATTTGGAAAATGATTGTTGTGCATTGTAGGAAAAGGCATTGCTTTTTACTGTCATCCTTGTAAAATCTAGTTACTGACATTAAGTGTTATTAGGTCTGCTGATTATTTAGTCTTACACTGTAATAAAGCCACTTGCAAGCAAAATACTTTTTTCTTCTAAAAACAAACTAAAATTCTAGAAACGGGAATACAGCTATCCTAAATCCTCAGTTACTTTGCTCCTCCATTTTAAAAAACTCATGTCTAGAACTTATTTATAAAAGTAATATAAAACATGAACTTCTAGAAGATCTACAGATTCTGGTCAAGATATGACTATAATTTTGATACTTTTAATAATTGTCAGGCACAGCGGTATACTCAGGCATCAGATATTCGGTTAACTCTGTTATGTTTACTATTCTTGGAAGATTATTACCACACTTTAGAAAAGTTTTCAATATCCAAGAGTCTTTGCTTAATTCACTGGAATTAACTAAAAGGAATTAGGGAATTCGTTCCTCAGAATAGTTTATATCCTAAACTATATGATTAAAAGACTTTTATTTTTAATTGTATATGCGAACCTTGAAAAAAAATGTGCATGCTGAAATGTCAAGACATGGCAGATATAGTTTTGCTTTTCTGTTACTTAACACTATTTCAAAATAGTTTCTGATTTATCAATTGGCTCAGAAAAAGAATATTTAAGTTCCTTTGCTTTTGAACATGTGATTCAAATTAATGATTTGCAAAGTTTTTATATACTTTGGGAACTTCAGCTTGGAATTCTGAGGTAAATTTTTTTTAAAGGGAAGATTCTTTTGCAATGGAAACAATTTCTCTATAACTTATCTGTTTTGTAATTTTGGATTGTTGTATATTGATATATATTATTACAGAATACCAAGGAAGTAATACTGTTATTTATTCGTTTTTAAATTCTTACATAAAATGAATAAATTGTGAGGTTCTCCTGAAGGAGACTTGTGGTAAAAAAGTAGTAATAGCATATGCTTATTATAGAAAAGGTGGAAAAGAAAGATTAGTGAAAGAAGAAAAACCAGTTCCAAGCCTACAACTTAGAGAACTGTTGTTAACTGAGGCAAACATCGTCGTTTCCTTTGTATGTGTGTGTTTGTAAGCTCTACAGTCTCTCATTTTTCTGATTATTAAGGTAATATAGAGGGATGTGTAAATGCAGGAGAGCGTAGAAAAGAGGGGGGGAAAGCCACTCAAGAGACATCCATGAAAGTTTGCATTTTTGTGATGAAGAAATTGAAGTATACTTGCCAATTTGTAGCCTGTATTGAAAACAAACAAAAAATTGACACCAAAAGCATTTTCCAGTGCCATATATTTATCCAAAACAGGATTCTTAATGGCCAAAGCATAACTAACTGATTTAGTGATTGTTTATGATTGAACATTTTATTTTGATTTTTTTACTTTTATAAATAGCACTGTGATGAGCAATCTTGTACCTGATTTGTTTGTACATTTATTTCTTCAGAAGAAATTTTTATAAGTACAGTCATTTCAGAGTATGTGAATTTTGGAGGCAAGCAGCTCCAATGCTTATCCAGTTGCTGTGTCCTTAGATTACTTTTCAAGCCTTAGTATTCGCTCTGTAAGAATAGGTATCATAGTGACACTTACCTCAGAGGTTAGAAGGAGTAAATGACAATATATGTATAGCTTTTAGCACAGCTGATACGTATTCAGGATACTCTCAGAGCGTCTTTCCCCAATACCCTTGTCTTAAGTAGACTCTTCTCCCCTAGCATGTATCGTAATTAGCTATTATGCTAAAAAATTCTGTCTTTCATTCCACCACTAGATCATGAGTAGGACCAAGTTCAGTATTGTTCATTAATGCATATTTGAAACCTCATACAGGGCCTAACAAATGTGAATATGTTGGATATGTGGAAGATTATCTTCCAAAACTTTTAATGTTCAGTTGCTTTTTTCTCTCACAGCAAAGCTGTGCCAGTTTACATTCTTCTCCAGCTCTGTGTGAATTGTGTGCTTTATAATTTACTGTCACTGATACAGAGTATGATTGTGTCAAAAAAAGTTGTGAATTTCAAAGTTATAAACTGAGAATTTAAAAAACATATTTTTTGACTTTTCTGAAGAGGGAATCTTTTATATTCACTTCTATTTTCACATATTTTCTGTTTATGTTTTTCATTCTTACTAGTAAGAATAAAGACAAAATAAGAGTAATATGTTAGAGTCCTGTCTCTGGTCCCTTCCCAAGCATTATTTCATACTTCCTGGGGTAAAAAAGTAAATAATATCACAAAAATATGAGACACGGTTAATATATAGAAGTACCATATCAAAATTGATCTCCAAGAGGTTTAAACTGGATAAACTTACAGTGAAAAAGTTTAAAAGAATTTTTGCCTCATTTAATTTACTGTATCAACACTGAAAATGTAGGTTAAGATGTTATGTAGGCCAGCCAGGCGTGGTGGCTCACGCCTGTAATCCAAGCACTTTGGAGGCCAAGGCGGGTGGATCACCTGAGGTTGGGAATTCAAGACCAGCCTGACCAACATGGTGAAACCCTGTCTTAAAAAAAAAAAAAAAAAATGTTATGTTAAATGCTAAAATTAGATTGTATTTTCACTATTAACCTTATGTTTTCTGGAGGGCTTCAAAATCACTTTGATATCTGTGGATATATTTGAAAATAATGAGTATTTTGCTTGTGGGAAGTAGGCAAAGACAAGTGACATTTAGGTATTGTATTAGATTCTATTACTCATTTTTATTAATTTGGCAATATTTATATAACTCCTATTATATGCCCCAAGTGCTATTCCAAGAGAATATAGCAGTGTACAAAATAAAATCTATATAGATATAGATACATATAGTCTGACAAATGGTTGAGTATGTAAGAGGCGCAGATTTAAATAGGCTGGTCAGGGAAGTCCTTTGTCACTGATTTCCCCTCAAGGAGTGAGCCTGTGATGAGGGAGCAATCCTGTGCTTATCCAGGAGAAAGGGCTTTCAGGAAAGGACAACAACAAAGAACAAATAACCTGAGAGAGGCATATTCTTGATGTCTTAAGATTAAAAAATTGCAAAGAAGTCTTTGTGGCTAGAGTATAGTGGGAAAGGAAGAGAATGGTAGATAGATAACAGAAAAGGTCAGAGGCAAATGAGGAAAGACTTTGCCAAGCTACCATAAGGAAAGTTTTACTTAGAGTAAAAGATACTTTGTGTATACTCTTCACAGTTGTTACACGAGGTTAGTTGATTTCCCCCCCCATTTTACAGTTAAGAAAATAAGATTCTACTATATAACTGGTAAATAACTTCTTCAAGATCATGTAAGCTGGTAATTAAGATCCGAAGTCATGTCTTTGACTTCAGAACCTCCCGATTTTTTCATTGCACTGTCCTTGTTCAAGCACACTTTCAGAGGCCTTCAGTTTTACAGTGAAATTCAGACTGGGCCTAGTTTTTGTGTGGATCTAGGGTGAGTTTTCATGCAGGGCTCATTATTTTTTAATATCCACAGGAACTAATACCATTCTTATTTTTAAATCAACTTTGTCAAGGAAGTTTACATATAATACAAGGCACCCATTTAAGTGTTCTTTTTAAATGAATTTTCACAAATTTTTACACCTGTTTAACACCATCATTCAGATACAGAACATTCCTATCACCCCTGAAGTTCACTGATTCCAGGCAGACCCCAGTGATGGCCCAGGCAACCACAGATCTGCCTTCTGTCAGTATATTTGAGATTTTTATCTAGAGGTTTGAACAAATGGATTTGTAAGTACTACATTGTTTTGTGTGGTCTTTTTGCTCAGCATAATTTTATGACTTTTACGTGTATCAGTTGTTCACTTCTGTTAGATATTATTTTATTGGCTATTGCTTTTCTAACTGGCACTTGAAACATGTTTGTTGAATGAATGCATATAATAAATATCCTTTTCCCCCACAGTTTTGCTGCTTTTCTTTATTATGAGGATGCTAAAACGTCTCCTAGATTTTGTATGTTGCTAGACTTAAATTTATGTATAGATTATATAATGAGATAATAGTGAAAAATGTGCATGATTTAGAGCTCAGTATTTGTTAAAAAGACTGTTTCTCTGTTCATTTATCTTAGTACCCTTCTCTAAAATGACCGACTATATGTAAAGCTTCATTTCTGGACTCTCCATTCTGTTTCATTGATAAGTCTATCCTTATGCCAGTATGCCTTGATTACAGTCTGCAATTTTGAAAACAGGAATTTTTGAGAATCCTCTAACTCTGTTCTTCTTTTTTGAGTATGTGCTCCATGAATTTCCATATGAATTTTAGGATTAGCTTGCTAATTTCTCCAAAGAAGCCGGGTGGAATTTTGATAGAATTGTGTTGAAACAGATCAATTTGGGGAGTATTACCATGTTAAGCCTTCTTATCTATGAACTTGGGATGTCTTTCTATTTATATAGTTATTTAATTATTATTATTTTTTTTATCAATTGAGAACCTGAATAGAATTTGTTTTCTTTGAGATGGAGTCTTGCTTGCCCTGTTGCCCAGGCTGGAGTGCAGTGGTGTGATCCCGGCTCACTGCAACCTCCGCCTCCTAGGTTCAAGCAATTCTCCTGCCTCAGCCTCCTGAGTACCTGGAACTACAGGCGTGTGCCACTACACCCAGATAATTTTTGTATTTTTAGTAGAGACAAGGCTTCACCATGTTGGCTAGGATGGTCTCAATCTCCTGACCTTGTGATCTGCCTGCCTTGGCCTTCCAAAGTTCCGGGATTATAGGCATAAGCCACTACGCCTGGCCGACTTTAATTTTCTTTTAAGAATGTTATATAGTTTTTATGGTATGTTTTGTATTTCTTTTGTTAAACTTACTCCTAAGTATTTTATTCTCTTGGATGTTTCAGAAATGGAGTTATTAATTTCATTTTTGGGTTGTTCATTGTTTTTGTATGGAAATGTAATTAATTTTTGCATATTGATTTTGTACCCTGCAACCTTGTTCAACTTGTTTACTTAATTTTTGTAAAACATATCTATTAATAAAATCTTAAGTATTAAACTGCTATGTAATCTGTTTTATATTTTCAAGTCTCCAGTTTGCTTACCTTGTATCTAGTTGTTGCATTCATTATCGACATGGAGCATTAAAGTCTCCCAACTACTGTTATTGATATTTCTCTCTCTGTCAGTTTTTGCTTCATTTTAGTGGCTTCTTTAGCATTTTCTTATATATGAGATCATGTAATCTGCAGTTAGAGGTAGTTTCGCTTCTTCTTTTCCAATCTGGATGCATTTAATTTTAATTTTTTTTGCCTAATTTGATGGCTAGAATCTTCAGTACCATGTTGAATAGAAATGACAGTTCTGTTTAGTGGACAACCTTGTATTATCCCTGATCTTATAAAGAAAGCATTTAGACTTTCGCCATTAAGTATATTACCTGTGGGTTTTTTTTTCCTTTTCTTTTTTTCCCATGGATACCTTTTATCAGTTTGAGGATGTTCCCTTCTATTTCTAGTTTATGAGTGCTTTTATTATAAAGGGCTGTTAGATTTTTTTCAGATGCTTTTTTTGGTGCATCTTTTGAGATGATCATGTGGTTGTTTCTTCTAATATGCCGTGTTACACTGTTTTGTTTTTAGATGTTGAACAGTTCTAGAATTTCTGGGTTAAATCCAACTGGTCATGTATAATCCCTATTTTGCTGTATTTTGTTTTCTAGTATTTTGTTGGGGATTTTCGTGTCTATTTTCATAGGATATATAAGTCTGTAGTTTTCATTTCTTGAGATTTCTTTGATGATGTTACCTGGATAATAATGGTATTGTAAAATGAGTTAGGAAATGTTCCAGGTTCCAAAACTCTTCTCTCTTTTGGGAGAGTTTGTGAAGAATTGATACCAATTTTTCTTATATTTGGTACAATTCACCAGTGAAGCTGTCTGGGCTTGAGATTTTTTTTTTTTTTTAAATGGGAAGTTTTTAAATTACTAATGCAATCTCTTCACTTGTTGTAGGTCTATTCAGATTGTCTGTTTCATCCTAAGTCAACTTGACTAGTCGGTGACTTTGTAAGAATTTGTCCCTTTCCTTTAGTTACTTAATTTGTTAGTATTCCACTCTTATTAGTCCTTCAATCCTTGCTATGCCTACCCTTCAAAATTGGTAATAATGTGCTCTGTTTTATTCCTGTTCTTAGTACTTTGTGTTTTCTTTTTCTTTTTTTTTTTTTT